CAATTAGAAAAAAAATAAAAAGTTTAAGAAATTCATGGCCCAAATATGAAATTATCAGATAATAGGAATTTAATCCAAACAACTGATGAAGAGTGAGAAACAGAGACTCCATTTGACTTTGGTAGCATAGTGGTTATGAGTCGGGCTGCTAACCTCAAGGTCAGCAGTTCAAAACTTCAAGCTATTCCACAGACGAAAGATGAGGCTTTCTGTTCCCGTAAAGATTTACCGCCTTGGAAACCCTGTACAGGGTCGCTATGAGTCGGAACCGACTCCACAGCACATAACCACTACCACCACCACTAAACAGACATTACTTTGATTGGCCCAGGTCCTGACAGTGAACCAAATACACAAGTCTAAAATCCAATCCGAGCTCACAAAACAAAGAATTTTACAGTTATAATAAGAACATAATTTTGCCTTTATGTTTTCAACTTTAAGAATCACTTATTAATAAAAAGGTTTTCTGGGTCAAGCACATATATAGGTTAAGAGTACAAAGCTTTGGCAATGTTATCACTGGTTTGAAAAGAATAAGTTGTCGAAAAGGTAATGAAATCACAAAACGGGGAATCAAGAAATACTGTCAAAAGTTGAATAAAAAAAGAAATAACACAACTGAACTCATAAACTAGCATACTTTGAAGAGGAAGAAGAAAACTAGCTTAGGAAACTAGATTCTCACTTCTATACCTGGAATTAAGAGTTAATAAGTCAAAAGTGGTTAAAAACAACAAAAATAACAAAATCTATTTGAGACCAAAAGATCAACAATTCTTCTAAGGCAAAGAGGAGAAGAAAAAGAGGACAGGGAAATTCGACCACTGGAAACAAAACAACTAGAACGCAATTAATTGATGAGAATGTTGACACAGCGAAATTTTAACTATAATGTCAATGAACAATTGGTACCTGTTACTGCTAGGTGCCATCAAGCCAGTTCCAAATCATAGCAACTCTATGTACAACAGAACAAAAAACTGCCTGATCTTGCACCATCTTCACAATGATTCTTGTTTGAGCCCATTTTGTAGACTGTGTCAATCCATTTATTCAAAGTCTTCATCATTTTCACTGACCCTCTGGCTTGACCAAGCATGATGTCCTTCTCTAGGAACAGGTCGTTCCTGATGATGTGTTGTTGTTAAGTGTCGTGGAGTCAGTTCCAACTCATAGCAACCCTGTACAGGGTTTCCGAGGCTGTAAATCTTTACGGGAGCAGAATGCCTCATCTTTCTCCTGTGGAGCAGCTGGTAGTTTCGAACTGCTGACCTTGAAGTTGGCAGCCCGACTCGTAGCCACTACACTACCAGAGCTTAGTTTGTATAGCTATTGACAAATGGGAACCTAACATGCTGTGTAAATTTTCATTGAAAACACAACATAATTTAAAAAAAAAAAGAGTTGTAAAACATACTACTTAGGGTTAAGGAGGTAACCATCTTAGAACTAAATATAAAAATTAATAAAAAATAAATTAAAAGGCTCCCTCTGTAGCCTTGAGGTAGTGAAGAAAACCATTGTTTTTAAACAAAAGTCCTTCTGTACTATTTGATTTTTTTACCAAGTGCATAGATCACTTTCACAAAAATAATTCACACATTTCAGAAAAGGCAATACATTAAAATGAATGCTAAAAATGGGAAATGACAGTCAAATGCTGTCTATAGTTGGAACTGTAGTTAAGAATAGAATCATTTTTATTTTTATTTACTGAACTGCTATTCAAGTGAGAGCTTTCTATAAGAATGCATGCAGGAAAGAGTAAAATTGGAAAAGATCTTCACAACTTTAATGAAGGCAACACATTTTGTTCTTTGTAATTCTCTATTTTACAGGTTAAATACAATCAACATATACTCCATTTATAATCCAAAATCTAAAAAAAAAAATGTAATGTGATCAATATTCTAAATAAGTATGTCATGTTGCTAAGCGCCCAGCACCCCATGAGCTTTAGAGGACAGGGGGATACTGCAGCATTTTCAGAAGTCACCTATTTTAACAATAGAACCAATGGAGGCGCTAGGTTGTTGCCAGTTTACAAAAGGTGTGAATGCCACAAAACATGTGAATGCTCAAGAAAGGTGCCCTTTGGGAGATACCATAAACGGATTACATCATATACTTAGGAACAATCTTACCCGAGAAAATGACAAAGCTTTTTAAAGCTTCTTAAATGTCCAGGCTTTGTTTCCCATAAAACTCATTGTTCAACTGGGGAGGTAAAGCGGAGATGAAGGTGGAGAAAGGGCAGAAAATTTCTCTGTAAGTAGGTAGCAAAAATATCAGAGGCCAAGTCCAGAGTTCACAATTAAATAACCACATGACTCCCAATGTCATATTGTCACCCTTATCAGGCCAGTTTTCTAGCAAAAAAAAAAAAAAAAATTGACCCTTGTCAATTCTAAAAGCCTTTGATTTCTGATTATAAAAACACTCAATTCCCAACAGAGTCTAGAATAGAGTTCACTTGTATTCATAGATGATGGTCAAAGTAACGAGTAGATTTCATGAAAATTAGAGTTAGTTGCCACCACTTTCTATGCTTCTACTTGATGCACCAAACTACACTGCCTTTTGAGACTTTGTAACAAAGTGAGATGGAAAACATTTACCTTATTCCATTTTTAAACAAGACTCTAAATGAAAATCAGAGAGCTCCTGGCACATGATGACTTAATTTTTTTCTCTTAGCTGTTGCTGTTAAGTGCCATCGAGTCATAGCGACCCTGTATAGGGTTTCCGAGGAGCAGCTAGTGAGCTTGAACCACCGACTTTGCAGTTCAAACAGCTTTGCAGTCTGGTGCATTAACTCACATCCAAAATTTCCAGGCATAGCATCAAATGAGACCAGCATATTATTTACATGTTTTTCAGCTATCATCTTCATTGACTATCCAAACTTAAATGAAGATGCACTATTTTTGGTTACAGGTATGGTTGTAGTGAGGGAATGGGTGTAGATGGATCATAGCAACTTTCTCTAAACCCAAGCCTAGTTTCCATTTTTGTTCTAGTTTCACATAGTTCTGAGCTACTCTAACCTTTCAAAACATACATATTTTGCTTTATTTTTGTTTAAGTTTTATGTTTTTCCTAACTTCCCTCTTTTACTCAGCCAGTCCAGCTCCTATTTCATATTACAAATAATCATAATAGCTATGCTGATCATATACCACACAATATCTCTGTGTGTATGTGTATGTGTGTGCCCATAAATACAGCTGAAAAATTATTTGGAACCAAAAAACTTTTGAACATTATTGGAATTTTCCCTTCTAATCTTAATGATTCCCAAGCTTATTTCTTAGAAAAGTCCCAATAAAATATTCAAAACTCCATGTAAGTAAGCTGAAACATGATGCATGCGACTTTGGCATTTTATATACTAGTGGCACACTGGTTAAAGTACTCAGCTGCTAATTGAAAAGTTGGAGGCTTGAACCCACCAACCATTCTGTGGTAGAAAGATTGTTGGCTTCCATAAATATTTAAAGCCTTGAAACTCATATGGGGCAGATCTATTTTGTCCTACAGAGTCACTATGAGTTTGGTTGTGGTTTGGATACTACAGTAAATAATGTCATCTTTTAGAATAACATTTCCACAAATACTATGTTATTATTAAGTCACAATATTTGACTTCAACCAACCATTTAGAAGTCAAAGCACACAGCATAATCCAAGCTACCACTGGATAACCTGCAGAAGACCAATGAAGAATAAGTGAAAAGCAAGTCTGTTTCAGGACAACTGCTTCTCTGAAACAAAATCAACAACTCCTCCTTACACAAGATGTCAACAGCTCTGGGACAGGAAAGGAATAAGAACTGGTCACCATTATGAGTCAAAGACTTGACTATAATAAACCACATCCATCACTGTGTTTTCCTTATTAGGGCCATTTCATAACAATCAGATATTAGTGTCAAATAAAAGTTTTGATATTTTTCAATAGAACATAACTTGTTAAGGTAACTTTGGAATTAAGGATATCTGCTAAAAAACAAAACAAAAACAAAAAAAACTAGGAACTCTAAAGTAAGTTCTTAGAGGAGAATGCCCCTTCTTGGCACAGAATGCCAGTGCTGGCAATCCTGAACCAAATCAGCACAACTTGCATGGAAACCTTTGAGTCTGACCCTCTATGACCTACCTCACTGTTACATTTCAAGTTCCAACTTGGTTTTTCCTAGGAAATGCAATTATTTTCCAGTATCGACAATTGTAGCAATCTCCTCTAGTGTTTAAGAACCGATTTTCCTACACAATTAATTTGAATCCAATGTAAAATTCACTATATGGAAAAAACTATTAACAATGAGCACAGAATAAAGGTGACAAAGCAGGCACCCAGATTTGATGGTATTTTAGGCTACCAAGTGCACCTAATTAAAACCCTGACCCAATTTCCACACAATTGATTCGTCCAGCCAACAACTACTTAACCACGCAGTTGCTAATTTCTTCACTGTGCTGTGTGGTCATTACGTCACCCAGATGTTAGTAGTACGCCTACCAGGTACAGTTCAATTTTCCTGCATTCTCTTCCCAAGAAACTAAACTGCGGGCCACCTACCCTGTCAAGAGTCTTTCTCCTAAATCTCAGGATTTAGGACTCTACTAAATCTCTCATTTCTCTTGATGTCACAGTCTAATAGGCCTGGCTCTGGGGTACCTGACCTCAGGCCAGGAGTTTATTTTATCCTCCAAATTCAGGAACAAGTCACCTACGAATGGCATGGAAATCCCCCAAAACCTTTTTTTTCCCTACATGTAGGAGTTGTCAAGTCTTGACTCTTTTGAGACTTCCAGGATTCTGGATGAATCTCACTGCTTCTGATCCCTTATAATTCCAACACCCAGCGATTCCCTCTATGCTCCCAGTTTTCCAGATCTTTGGGAAATGGAAGGACAAGCCCCTTCACGCACACACGCACAGGCGTGCACCCTGAGCCACAGAGACTCGGTAGACCCTCGCCAGGCTGACTTACTTGAGAAAGTACCTCTGGCCAGTGGTCGTGAAGGTCATCTCCCAGCCCGGGGGCAGCGGCAGCTCGTCGGTCACGTCATAGGACTGCTGGCGGAGGTGCGCATGCTGCTGCGCCGGGCTGCCCGTGGCGCCCGCACTCGTGCCCAGCTGCAGGGACGCGGGCGACGAGTGAGAACGGACGTGCTGGGCACCGCCTGCCAGTCGGGGTCCCGGGTGGCTGCCAGAGGAGTCGGTACTCGACTGGCGTGAGTGCGAGCCCGAGTCAGGCTCCTTGAAGAAGGACTCCGGCAGGATCTTCTTCCGCCACGAGCTGGGCTTGGGGTTCCTGGCGGAATCGAAGAGGGTTTCGAGGTCCGTGTCCAGGTCCTGCGTGACGTGGATCACTTGCTGCCCGGGCGGCGGGAGTGGAGGGGGCCCGGAGACCGGATTCATCTTCTGCAAACAAGAAGGAAGGTTAGAGATCAGCCTTTGGTTTAAAGTCGAGGAGGGGACGAAGAATAGTAAAGAAAAAGAGATAGATAAGTGTCCGCTTCGGGATCGCAGACACTCAGCAGTCCTACCAGCAGGATGGGGGAGGGGGGTCCCTCCTTGCCTGGAGAATTATGCAACTTTCTAGAAGCAAAGAAGTTCTGGGCCGGGGGAGGGGAGTGGTAGCCACGCAGGACATTGCTGAACTGCTGGTGGCAGAGGAAAGGTCGCAGCTTTCTAGGACAGGCAGGCTCCCAAAGAAGTCTCAGCCCAAGCCAGCTCCCAAGACGCCGCAACTCCGGAAGCCCGAGGAGCCCTAGAGTCGGGCGGGCGAGTGGGCGCGTTCCAGCGGGTACTACCTGGGCGCGCGGCGGCAGCCGTCCAGCCTGAGCTCGCCGTCTGGCCTGGGTCACTCGGGTGTGAACCGAGCTAGCGAAGCTGGAGCTGGGGCCCGGCTGGCAAATCCCCACCCAACTCGGTGCCTGGCCGCCGAGGGACTTCGGTTCTCACATCCCCCGAACCGGCCTCAAATACTCGCACTCGGCGAGATGGAGACCGACAAGAAGCAGACAGCTCGCGCCCGCCGCGGCTCCCGGACTGTCCCATAAACAAAGTTTGGAGCAAATTCCCACCCCCAGGAAAGAGGCGGGTCCGAAAGTTGAGCTGTTGAATTATGCATGACCTCGGAGTCCTGAGTCGGCCTGCCCCCCGCTCGCCCCTCCTCCTCCTACCCCGGCTCCAGAAACCCTGGGCGTGATGGGTACTTCGCAGGGTAAGAGGAGACGGGTGCCCCCCACCCACTCCTCCCGACCGGGCGGACCGTTCCCGCGGAGCTCTGGATATGCATTCCTTTGAGTTTACCACGGACTTGGGGCGGGATCAAAGGGAAAGTGGCCCAAGCCTGTTTAATCAAGGGGTTGTGGACCGAAACCAAGACTCGGGTCGGCGAAGGGTACGAGGGTGAGGGGCCCAGACTGAAGAAGGGAGAGTCCTCCGTGCCGCGCCCTCCCCGCGAGCCGGGTGCCAAAGTCCTGGCACCCGAAGCGCGGCAAAGACCCGCGGTTCTGCTTGAGGGCGGGCTCGGGTGCGCCCCTGCTCCGGGAGCCACCAAGGCCGGCCTTTCCACGGGAGGCTGCTTAGCACTTGTGACCATATTTGGTGTGGCGAGGAGGCATCTCGGCTGCTTGGTTTTCAATTGTCTACTCCAGCGCAGACGGTGCCGGTTACTGGAATTGCTGCTTCGCCGATGGGTGGGCTGTAAACAAACGACCTTCACACTATTCCTCAATGCTTAGTTTCTTCTCCTGGGTGTCCGAGGCCACTAAGGATTAAGGAGAAACCGAATCAAAGCTGGGTGCTGGTAGCGGAGTGAGATCGCGGGCCCCTCCCCCGCGCCCTCTGAGTTGGTGGTGGGAAGATTGGAATGTCCCTGACGCCCTCCGGAGAGCCTTGTGCCGGGATGGAACCCGAGCAGGTGGCTGGGAGGGAGAGGGTGCGCCAGTGACCCGGAAAAAGCCAACCCACCCCCACCGACTGGATTGGCGCGAGGGGTGGAGACCCTAAACTAGGGGGAGGAAGTTAAGCCTGGCCAGACAGCTGCGGGAAGTGGGAGGTGACCCTGTCCTCCAGAGCAGCTCAATTACTACTCCCCCTTGTCTTCTTTGAGGAGAATGGGAAAGTGACTTCCAAGGTAAATTGCGCTCCATAATCCCTACAACCCACTCCATTTGATTCAGATAGAACTTTTCAGATAGACTTTTAAATAAACCAAGTAAGGCAGTATATGTGAAGCACTGTGAACAACACACAGCCAGATTACTACTTAAGTGTTTGTTACATAAAGTTGTTCAGGTATTGTGTACATCAACTTTATTATAAGGGTGAAATTAAGTCAAAATCTCGAGTTGCCTTGAAAGATTTTAGGGGAAGAGGAGGGCTCCCATTGCTTTTCTTTTGAAAAGAAAGGAGATTTTAGAAGCCTCTTGCTGAATAGTTGCATTCTGATTACAACCCAAACTAGAACAATGTCCACCAAAGGGAGTCCCTCTCCCATTATTTGTTCTTGGGAAGTATACTTTGATTGCTGACTCTTTACAGACTGGAAAACACCAGGACTGCCTTAGAGACAGACACTGCCATGGACCACTTCTAAGGGTAAACCGTCATGACTCCTTTCAGGAGCCCTAGAACCCCATGTTTTCCATACAGTGCATCCTCTGTCCCTGGTTGGCAGAGGGAAGTGGCATGCTACCACAAATCACTCCTTGAGAAGTAGTATCTGCAAACCACAGTTGCAACAGCGGGGAATAGAGGAAGGGAGTCCTGGTGTGGTGCTGTGGGTTCATGCACAAAGCTGTTTGAACTGCAAGATTGGCAGTTCAAGATCACCAGCTGCTCCTCGGAAATACAGGGTCGCTATGGGCGGAACTGACTCGATAGCACTTAACGACAACAGCAATTGGACTTCTGGAGTCCTGGTGTGGCACTGTGGATTAATGCGCTGCACTGCAGTTATTTTAAACCTCAAAGTCAGCGGTTCGAGCTCACCAACTATTCCTTAAAAATCCCATACAGAGTCGCTGTGGGTCAGAACTGACCCATGGCGCTTAACAACAACAGCGATCGAACTTCTGGTGTGGTGCTGTAGGATCAGCACTGGATTGAGAACCACAAAACAGTTCAAACCCACTAGCTGTTCTTCAGAAACCTGAGTTGCTTTGAGTTGGAAGTGACTAGATAGCACTTAACAACTGCAACTGGAGTCCAGAATCATGGTATGGCACTGTAGAATAAGCACTGGACTGCAAAATCGGTTTGACCCACAAGGTTGGCAATTCAAACTCACCAGCCACTTTTTGGAAACCCTATATAGGGTTGCTATGAGTAGGAACCAGATCAACAGCAATTAACAACAATTGGAGTCCTGGTATAGTACCGTTAAGACATTTTAGACTGCTAACTGCAACTGCTAATTGCAAGGCTGGAGGTTCATACATTCCTCGGAAACCCTTTACAGTGTGCTATGAGTAGGAACCAACTTGACAGCACTTTAATAACAACAACAGTTAAAAAGCAGCAAGGCTGGTTTGATTAAAGGATGGAAACTGAGTCCAGCTCTGCTATAGAAAGGTCCTCACCCCTGAAGTAAGCTTCTGCTTTGTGAAGAAGCCAATTGCCAGAAAAGCATACTGAGGGAGCCAGGAGACTAATCAGTGGGCAAGAATCAGGGTTGAGATTGGATGGGCAAGACTGCAGTCTTCATTCCTTGCCAGACTTCAAGAAATAGATAATGAAGGACAGAGAAATAGATACCAGAAAGTAAATTGTAATGATTACAGAATAATTCAAAAGGGAATCTAGTTTCCAAATATAGCTTGTTGTTATCCTAGCCCTTCCAACAATAACTTCTGATTACCATGTACACTTTGTATGCATCAGACATTGTCCATTAAAGACAGCATAGCGTCTTGGGTAAAATAGTGTCTGTGGTGCAAAATAACTGTGTCACCTCAGGCAAGGTGGTGCTTGTTGTTAAGTGCCATTGAGTCAGTTCCTACCCATAGCGACCCTGTAGGGTTTCTGTGGAGCAGCTGGTGAGCTTGAACCACCAACCTTGTGGTTCAAACCACCTTGTCAGTCCAGCACATTTACCCATAGCACCATACCAGGACTCCTCAGGCACGATACTCAGACTCTATTCCTGAGTTCTACTTTGCAAATTAGGGGCTGCAGTGCACTTTTATTTGGCCTTTCTAACCATGGTCTTGTAACTCTCAAAGAATGGCTGGGTAAGACCAAACAAATAAGGTGCTTGTGGCCCACCCAGGGGATTGGGCAGTTTGCTGATAATGCAAATAAGGTGCATTGCACCATTGTGGATGTGGTGAATGCAAATATGGAACCCTAACCAGAGGATTGGAGTCCTGGTGTGGTGCTGTGAGTTAATGTGCCAGACTGCAAAGCCGTTTGAACTACAAGGTCGGTGGTTCAAGCTCACCAGTCGCTCCTTGGAAACCCTATGTAGGGTCACTATGGGTCGGAACTGACTCAATGGCACTTAACAATCAGAGGATTCATGAATTTTTCTATCCTGCTGGGCTTAAAATGAGCCATCCTAGAGGTGGAAAGGGGGAACTTCACTATCATAAAGAAGAAGAATTGAGAGCATAGCACATTCTTTAGAGCCAAGGAACCTGAGGTGAGAACCTCTTAGACCCAGGACACAGAATTGTCATTTCAGAGACAGCACAAGATCGAGTGGCAGCAGATAAGTGGTGACAGTAGAGCCAGAAAACCAGCATGAGACAGTGGTGGGCTTCCTGGCCCAGAGAGCAAGACATTCGCAGTGGGTGTGCTGACCCACAGAGTGAGCTGAGCACTTTTGGGCAGGAGGCTTCCTGGTAGAATGGGATGCCTTCAGGCACTTTTCTTCAGAGCTAAACTTCCCAATGCTTGCAGAAAAGGGAGAGCTAAGTGCCTTCAGGCAGAGGTGTACTGGAGGAGTTGGGGTGCCCCTGGACACTTTCTGACAGAGCTAAAGACCTTTGTAACACTTGCCCAAGAGGGCAGAGATTGGGCTGAGTGGCTGAGGGTCAGAGAGAGGCCTGCCTTCGGGCATGGCTAAGAAGAGGCTGCTCTGATTGAAGAATTGTACACTGAGAGGCTGCTAATCCAGAATTGTAATCTGTTGCTTCCCTAACGAATCCCACAATCATGAGTATTGTGTATAAATTCTGTGTGGCCATTGCAACCAACTCTCAAACCCAACAAATTAGTAGATAGTAAGGTGGGAGGAACAGCTGGTGTCAGAATTGGTGAAAAGATTGGACAGAGAATGTATGTCTGACCTCTAAATCATAGCAATCAGCCTTGGGCTATTGCTACTGACAGTGATTCTCCTTCTCCCTTGTGAAATTAGAGGAGGCCAGTAGTATAGTGGTTACAAGTGGGCTGCTAGACTCTAGGTCA